AACTACAGTAAGTAATATCCTCAAACAAGAATAATCAGTAGTAGCTAAAGTAAGTAATATCCTCAAATAAGAATAATCAGTAGTAGCTACAGTAAGTGATATTCTTAACTAAGAATAATCAGTAGCAACTACAGTAAGTAATCTCCTTAAACAAGAATACTCTGTAGTAACTACAGTAAGTGATATTCTTAACTAAGAATAAGAATAATCAGTATTCAGTAGTAACTAAATTAAGTAATATCTTCAAATAAGACTCTTGTATAGACGTATATTATTCAGAGGTGAACGATCAATTTCTTTCAAAGATGATTTTTTTCGATGCTGATTTTTATCAAAACCATTTTTTCGGTTAAAAAATATTTTTAATTCTTGAATAGATGTATTAGTATACATATATTACATAAATGTATATTTTCCTTTTTTTCTCATGAAAGTATATAATTGATTATTTAATAGTAATCAACATACCATATTTGATTATCTCCAAGCTTTAACGCTAAAATACCCGAGTATTTCTGCATGCAAATTTTTATATTAGCCTAATACAACTTCTCAAAATGATAGATTCTTTTTTAATTTTCTGGCTAGTCCCGAAAATCGCAATTTTAAGCTATAAACGATCTAATATGATGTGAGTAACCTGTATAATCGTCTAGTTTACTCTTCTAAAAATTAGTATCAGTGGAATTTTAATAACCATGAGATTCAATGATAAACTTGTGGTGTAGCCCAAGGGTAAAAGACATTCTTTTGTAAACTGCTTTTGGGTTGTGCTTTTATTCTAATATTAATTTTAGAAAACTGGAGCTTTCTGTTTTCTTGATCTTATCAAAGACCAGGCGAAGAAGAAAAAAGTAGCTGAAGATCTAGAACATTTTAAGCTACTCAGGGTTGGAGCTGAATCATTCTTTATCGATTATAACATCAAGCTGAAGAAAAGAGACACTAAAGAGTAAGATAGACTTCTCTAATATCTAAAAACTTAAGTTCTAAAGTTCTTTTAAAAACTTTGTGCCGAAATAATAGTGCTATAGGTAATTTATGAAAACTTTATGTTCTTGTTTTGGAAACAAGTCTTTTGACAAAGTAAAAAATAAAAAAAAAATTTGTACCTATTATATTTTCAACAAAATTTTATTTTTGTATCCTGGAAATGATAAGTTTCGTTAACTATAACTACATGTATATTAATTATCATCTGAATAATGAGCACTTATTGCTATTGTACACTGCACTGTTACAATACTTTCCCAAAAAAATTATGGAGATGACGAAATGAGATTAACTAGAAAAGTTTTATTCATAATACAGGAAACTCCAATTATATTGATGTTTAATACAATTAATATAGAGCTGACTGAATAATATTACCATTATTCTAGATCTGTTCTTCAATATTGAACAATTGATTGAACAATTACTATACAGTCTTGCCCACAAAGGACCAGACTGTAAAGACGACCCAAAACTCTAAAAATATGGTTTTTGTTTTCTGCATTTTGAGTAATTTAATGGTTTAAAAGATTATTAAGCATAGAAATAACCCCGTTTGGTCTACAAGGAACCCTGAATGCAAGAAAACGGACTAAACATTTCCTTAAAATCGTCTCTGATGACTCATCCTTTGTGGGTAACCCTGTATGTACTATAATTACCAAAGGACAGAGTTGGGATTGTTTTTGTACATGTTTTAAATTATCAGAGGTTTTGGCTTTCAAAAAGGTCTTCACAAATCTCCGAAATTTAAAAGATTGGAAAATTGCACACTTTTAAAAGTATTGACTTTGACCTCTATAGTTTGAAATCGGTTGTTTTGACTAAAGCTTATATCTTGTTTCCCTGTCATGTTAAACATTTTGTATTATTTCTAGAATAATTTGTATGGACCAGAAGTTATTAATCTTGAAGAGTTGTTATGTTCAATATTCATTTTATAAGTTTTGGATTTGTTCTTGCAAAATTTAGCAACACATTAAATATTCAGGAAACCCTTTAAACTGGAATACCTTCATATTACAACGCATCCTCTTCATACTCTCTATCCCAAGGTACAGTGGTACCCAGGAAACTGTGAAAAAGGGCGACAACTGTTAATCACAATTATAAAATAGTCAAGAGGCCGAATTTTAAGAATTTTAGCTGCAGTTTAAATTTAAGCTGCGGCTCAAATTTTGTTTGTTCCACTTAAATTTGTATTAAATTTTTCAAGATTTAAGCCAGTGCTCAATTGAAATCTATTTTTGGGGATTTGAGACGCAGCTTAAAGAACCTGTCAAATCTTTTGTTGGGATGTTTAGAAAGATGAAAATTTCCCTGTATGATAATTGAAGGACTGCAGTATGGTTTTGGTGAATTATATTGGCGTACAAAGCCTAGGGGTGTCAGAAATGATTTTTTTGCATATTTTATAAAACTTCTATAGAACTTTTAAAGTTTAATTTTTGATAAAACTTTTTGTTCTGGATGATTGCAAATATCTATCTAAAACTTTCTTAAACCGGCATATTTTTTCTATATTCATTTAGTTAAGAGTTTGAGTCAAAATAAGTATTAATAAATATTGCTTTATATCGAGTAGATATCCTTA